AACACAAAAAATGTACACATTTCAGTTAATGTGAATTAAACTGTAGCACTGCTTCTGGCATCGAATAATTACTAAGATGTTACTTTTTCTTTCACCTTGTATTGATTGATAATCCTGCCAATAACCATAAGTAGTGACCTAACAAGTCTTTGGCTGAGGTGCACCTAATGCCCTGCCATGATCTGCATATGCATAGAATAAAACTCCATAAGGAAAGAACCATTCGAAAGTAGTAGGCTGGGAAAAACCAAGATGGTGGCATAGGTAAACAACTAATCTGCAGCCTTGGACAACAATTTCAAAACAACAACTAAAAGACAAAACGCTTATCACCCAGAACCATGGGAAAGCTGGCTGAAAGAGAAAGGAGCACAAACGCTGAAAAGCTGAAAAGCCTAGGTATGGAGGCACACGAATGGGACTGGTGGCGGGAGTTTATTCAACATGATGTAGAGTATTGAAAGGCTCGGGGCCATTATGAATATTGATTTTTGGGTTGTCTTATGGATAAACATGTAGGGAACATCTGCTGAACAATATTGGTTAATGTTCCTTCAGTATACTAGTTTTAAGAACCATTGAGAATTCTTCAGCGATAACTGTAATGATGAAAAAATCTCTCAGAAGGTAATTCAGCACAAAGAGGAATTCCCTTAATTGGCTTATAACAGCCTGTCAGACTGGGTAAACCAAAAAATATCTGGCAAGCACTACTAGGAAGACTGAAAAATGTATGTCCAAAAAAATGGCAATTCCACCGTGATTATGCCCAATCATTCCGGCAAGCTTTGAGAAAGAGAGGGAACTCTGTTTCAAATATGTGAAGAGTGGGCAAAATTTGATCAAGTGGGTTTTATGGAACATCTCATTTCTCTGTCATTACCAACATGGGCACATAAACTTGTGTTTTTAAACTACTATTGCAGAAAGGTTTCTGTAACATACTGCCAAAGATATTCTGCCATACCTACAATACCAGATTACTGTGTGCAAGGAATGGTACATTATAGAAGATAATGATCAAGAGAATGGTCAAGAACAGTCTATGACAAGACCGAGCAGAATAAGAAGAAAATAGAAATAGTTGTGTCTCCCAACTTTTTTTTCCATTCCATTCATTTTAATAACAAGGCAATGAGTAAAAAATATAGTTGTCTTACACAAACATGACTAACGCTCCCTGTTCTTTGAGGTAATGCTAGAGAAGCCTGATCACGCCAAAGCCAGAGGTCCCAATTTCATCTGCCACCTCCCCCATTTTTTATGGTTTGCTTTAATTTATCCTGAAATAGGGAGACAACAACAAATTCATTGGAGATGGGGGAGACATGATTTATGCAGCATCCTCTGCCAAATTAAAAGAAGCAAAGAAGTTACTATGTGTCCAGAGATGTTCCGAAGAGACTAATTGGTCTTCAGATGAGACACACACTAGAATATAAGCAGATTCTCAGGAGCCACGTGGCTTCCATCAGTGTGGTGAGAATGGTCATAACTGCACTGCCAGATGTGGACTGTCGGCGTGTGAAACACACTGGTTCCTCATTGTATAGCAGTTTTGCACTTAAATGTGAGAGATGGTATGATGGTGACATGCTCTCAAGACTGTTCCTTTGCTTTGGGGGATATAACCTCCCAATTATCACCTTTCTGGATGTTAGTTGTGGAGTTTGGCGACAAGAACATTATTTCTATACCAGGAGGTAGCATTGTAATAGTGAAGAATACAGTAACCTAAGCTGGGAACCTATAATGGATATGAGTGTGACATTGCCCACTGGTAGTACTGACATGGGCTAGTAATGAGCGATTCATCTAACACCATCGGGGCATGGTACTAGGTTAGTGCGCCAGGACTGACATGCCAAATGCCATAGAATAAGGGACTTAAATAACAGAAATGTATTTGACCCAGTTCTATAGGCTGAACGGTTAGTTTCCTCTGAGTCTTCTCAGCTTGCTGACTACTGCCTTCTCACTGTGTTCTCATGGGACCTTTTCCTCTGTGAATGTGTGGTCCTGGTAACTCTTCCTCTTTTTATAGGGACACCAGTCCTATTGGATTAGGGCCCCACCCATATAACTTCACTTAATCATAATTACCTCCTTAAAGGTCCTATCTCCTAATACAGAAACATTGGGGATTAGAGCTTCAGTTTATGAATTTCAGGAGGAGTGTTACACAGTTAAGTCCATGACAGGGACCCAGAGCATGGAACGTATTTCCAAGGACTAAAGAGCCATGCGAAAGTAGTAGTGTGCTGTATTTGTGTAACAAGGATAATCAGTGGATACTTTAACAGGAAAATTGAGTTGTAGAATCATAGGCCTTTGGACCCCTGTCCCTCTGAAGGGGGTCCTTTTCAACAGAGCCTGGTGAGCAATTAGGAAGAGTTTTCTGACTCCAGTTGGATGAGTTCCAGATTATCAGTAGGCCACCCAAGCTGTTAAGCCTGATGTGGGACGTCCTGAATGAATCTGTTCCCTATGCTACATCTCTCCTGCTCTCCTTCCCAGCAGCCACCTCTGGTTCCAGATAAATAAGCATACATTGACCTCATATTTGCTTAAGGTCATCAAAGCCATGCTGTCTCAGTGTACCAAATCCAGGCAGAGGAACAATAGGACCAAACCCCCAGTGTTTGATACTGGATTTTATCATGAAAGAAAAACAGTGGATCCACAGGTGACTGAGGATAGTTGGTCTTCTCAGCACAGCTGACTACTTTAGAACTGCTACCCAAAAATATGTCTTATCTTTCATGAGTGAGTAAGATTTCCTGTTCCTCATTTTTTCCTCTCTTTTGCTTCTTCCCCCTGTTTGATGCTAGATAAACAAGGCCTATAAATGTGTTTAGTTTTGGGGGAAAAAAACTCACTTTAAGTCCCAATTGTACAACTTACTAGTTTACTTGACTTTAGGCAAGTAATTAAATTTCTCTGTACATCACATTTCTCATTTATGACATTGAAATAGTAATTTATACCCTGCCAGGATTGTCATAAAGGTTGAGTGAGATAACTTACATAAGCAACTAGCATGGTACATAGAACATGGCTGGCACTCGAAACATTTTAATTTGCTTTCCCCATCTATGATAGCACCAGGTAGAAGAATAAAGGAGAAGAAATTTGGAGAACAAAGGGAAAAGTCAAAAGTTCTACTTTTACATAAGTAACTGGGCATCGATATACTAAAAGGTATAAAAGATGTGTAATCTTTAAACAATATCCTGCATAGTATTTTGTAAATTAGAGACTGTGCGAAGATAGCAGTAAAATAGAAATTGCATTTGTGCCATTTGAATAAAAGTATCATTACTGCCCTTGTACAATATAGTGACAATAGTTAATTCCAAATTTACCCTTTAAATCTCCTGGTTGCCCTACCTGTTTTGACTCAGTGGTTAGACCATTGTCCCATGGACTAAAGGGCTGTGGGTTTGATTCCGGTCAAGGGCACATGTTGGTTGAAGGTTTGATCCCTGACCCTATTAGGGTATGTGTGGGAGGCAGCCAGTCAATGTGTCTCTCTCATATCCATATTTCTCTCTCTGTGTCTCTCCCCCTCCCACTCTCTCTAAAAATCAGTGTGTGGGGAGATATCTTTGGGTAAGGATTAACAACAAAATAAAACAAAATCTCCTGGTTAATGTGTTCACAAATGCAGTATCATAAATTAAGTTACTGAAAAGAGTCTTGTAAACTATTCTAGAATTCTCTGCTTAAAATTCTTCTGTCTTCCTGTTGCCCACATTACGAGGCTTCTGAACTCTCAGCATACACGATCTGGCCACTTCTTTCTTCGGTAGCCTCAACTTCCCCCACCTTTCTGGGCTCTTACCTTTACTCCCCGGCTCCTACCATATTGCACTATTTTTGGTTTCTCTTTTCTGGACTTAAGCAAGTTGGGCCTGAGATGCACTTTTGATCTCTTCACCTGCTTTTTATTAATTATCTTTTATTTTTCTGCAAAGCCTAATTGTAATCCTTTCCAGAAATTATCTTTTTCATTGTATATTTAGCCGCTAGCATGGCACCAGGCTCATTAGGAATTCAGTAAATACTTAAGTAAATGAGTCAGTATTCTGCCTTAATCCAAGGATTATATCATAATTTTATTGCATATATTATTGTATAACCTATAAATTTTCAAATCCCATTTTTAAAAAAAGTCGTTTATTCTTTATATTATATGCCACTTTATACAATGTATCACATTTAAAATGGGTCGATGTCTGCTTCCTTCTTATAATTGCTATAAGGGATTTGTAAATGCCATTGTAGTCATTCATTTTTATTTGGATTTTTCCAAAAGGGGGAGGGGGAGCGGGGGAATCAAATATAGTGACTATTGTAACAACACGGAGAAGAGGATTTTCATAGAAAGGCTTTTCCTCTTAAGTTTCCGTCTGGTGAAAATGAGCTTATGAGATATTTTACAAAATATTTAGATTGTTGATATAAAATATCAGAAACACATGTTTGTAGAGAAATATATCTCAAAAAGAAACATTAACAATATACACGTGATCATGATGAAGTTATGTCATTGGGTTGTTCCATTGAGCTTTCCTTTTTATAAAATTGTTGACATTCTGAAGGATTTTTTTTTTCCAGATGCATCTGCTTAGCACAGAGAATGGGAACTAAAGGTAGTATAAAACAATTCTAAGAAAGTGAATGTTGTGTGACCTTTTTTTTTTTTTAATTTGCTTCACAAGTAATTTATTTAAAAAAAAAATTAACATCTGCTATTTTGAAGCTAATCTTAGTGTATTGAATGCTCTTAACCATTTCTCAATCCCACAGCCTTTTATCTTGCTTCTCCTGCTGTGTTCCCACCACCCTTGATCCCATTAGCAAACCTTGAGACCGCCTCAGGCTTACCAAAGTACTGCTTTGGTTTCAGCTGCTCTTCTGCAAGAGGAAGTGAATGTTGGGGGTTTTCTCTGTGGTACAGTTGTGATAAAGCTGTGGTGGTCTTATCTCTCTCTTAGGTAGTGGCTCTTTATGACTACACAGCGAATCGATCAGATGAACTAACCATCCATCGCGGAGACATTATCCGAGTGTTTTTCAAAGATAATGAAGACTGGTGGTATGGCAGCATAGGAAAGGGACAGGAAGGTTATTTTCCAGCTAATCATGTGGCTAGTGAAAGTAAGTTTTATGCTCCCTTCCTGGTTTGCTAGAATGGTATAACTGATAGTACAAGATTTTATCATGTTGTGCCCTTTAATTTACTGTCTTTGTAACTTTTGCATATGTTTACCAATGGGTATTGCTTTTCCTTTTCATGATGCAAAAGAAATAAAAGGGGAGGCACTAGTACACCAGAAAGCTATTACCTTCATCCTAGGGGACGACCTGCCCATCTCCCTACAACCTTCTTCAGCCCCTTTTCCCTGCACCTGCTTCATGCCCTTCAAGCACAAATGCTGATATGTCATCTCTTCTCTTGCCCAGTGACTCCGGTGACAGACACTTTAAGAGCCTCTAGTTCCCTAATTTCCATTCTTTTCCTTTATATACCATAGGCCTAACTGTTTCCCTATTACCTACCTACACTAGATTGTTTCACTCTCAATAAAATTAATCCCTCATTTGTGAAAGGAAAAAGAAAGGAGCTGGAGAAGGAATTCTGAAAGTGGTAGATTTCACCTTGAGAGATGAAAATAGAACACAGTGAGCTTGCGAAGAAAGACTACAAGGAAGGGGTGAAATACAATAATGCTTCTTCAGAAGAATCATTTTATCAGCAGTTAACTTCATCATGTGGTATGAAAAACCGTGCTCAGGGGTCAGGGAAACTGATTTCTAATCCTAGCTCCTCCACAGCTATTCCCAATGTGCCTCAGTTTCCTTCTATAAAGTGAGGAAGTTAAACTCTGTCATCTCTTAAGTTTTTTTTCCCCTCAAAGAATACTAAAATCATTTAGTTAGGATTTAAAATGTAGCATAGGAAGCCTAGAGATTACTCTGTTTTGAATAATTATTCAGTCTTTTGCTTCTGCAAAGAAGTAATTATTATAGATAATAGTTGTTTTTTAGGTTAGTCTGTGAAACCCCATTTAACCCAAACAATGGCTGAGCAAAAGTACTATTGATTCCTAAACTAAGTTCTGAATTTTTGAGAGCAAAAGAAATGGCATAGGAAGAATTTCCTTCCCTGATTACTGGGCCCTGGCTTAAGCCCAGATAAAATATTTTCTCTTTGGCACTTTCTACCACCTTGTCTGCACCCAGGGTCCCCTTCCCAGTCTCATTGCAGCTTCCTTCCTCAGCTTATCTGCTGCTTTCAGCAAACTCCTCCCCTCAAAAGTTCCAAATGTCTCAAAAATCACCCACTTCTCTCTCACATAACAAAATTTTGTAGTTCCTTTGGGCCATTGTTTTAATTCTCTTTCCTTGAGCAGTAAATGACTTATAGCTCTGAAACGCTATTGCAGGTATAGTTTTATGTTTAAAAGAAGATGCACAATGGAGGAAAAAAATCAGGCAATGTAGAAGAAAATTTAGGACAAGTTAATACCCAGTCATCTCCCCCAAAAATCTGCACTCCTAACTTCCAGATTGCCCCAAATATCCTGGTTTCTCCCCCGCCCCTCTTCCCACACGGTCAATACCTGGAATTCAGCTTCTGCCTTTAAATGAAGAGCTACCTACCCAATCAAAGTCATTCTGGAGTTTATCCATCATTTCAACTAGATATTACCATTCATTGTTAATCCAGATACAAATGAAAGCATAATTGTTTTACACTTGACAATGTAAAAAGATTATGTATTTCCAAGCAGGATGGCATTAGGTGCTTTAACTTTTTAATCTAATTAGTTTTCAGAAATAACCTCTTAGGCTTCCAAATCTGGAGAGATTATTGATTACAGTGGGTTAAAAATCCAATAAAATTTTCTTCCATAATATTCCAAGTGAGACTTCTGAAGTATACTGTAATGATTAAGTAGATATGTACAGAAATTAATGGTCTCATGTAGTGACTATTCTTCAACTGTCATAATTCCTTATTATATCTCAAAATAATTGATATTTTATTTTGGCATTAGTTATTGCTTTTGAGAAAAGTCTTGTGAATGCCAGAACAAACAGAATAAATCCTAAGATGCCCGAGAATGTAATTGAATTCTTACTTCTTTGGGGACTTTTTTTTCTCCTTTTATCCTACTTTTTACCTGAATTTAAGAAAATGTTGTCTGCTGTTTTAACATTAGAGAAAAAATTACTGTCAACAGCATATTTCACTCTAAAAATAGTAGAAGTCCTTTATCTTTATCCAAAGCTGAATATACAAAGCAAATGATCTAAGGAAGTACATATCTGAATAGAATCTATACCAACTGTTCAATTGAGAGCCAGGTCTACTAAAGAACTACAATAGAAGACATTGATATCCCATTATTATAGACTTCATCCCTTTGTATCTTAAGTGACTAGAAGAAAAGCATGATGAGCTTTCCCTAATCACATCATTTCCAATAAGAATTTAAAAAAACAACAATGAAATCAACCCATACGCAAAGCCAGTTAATACATCTCATAATCTTAAAATTTTGATTAGGTGTATTTAAACAATTTCTCTCGATTCAAAGATGATCAAGTCATTTAACCAAGATAGATTTTCTTTTTAGCCCTTTTAGATTCTACACTGTGTGTAGACTAACTAGATTATGTAAATTATAATCTATATTAATAAAAGCCTAGGTGGTCTTCATGCCCTTGAGTGCGATGTCACCAGATGGCCACCACAAAGATGGCCATGCACCCAGTGGAGGCGGGGCCTGGTGGCCACTCTGTGTGGTGAGGCCTGGGGATCCCACAGCTCCTCATGGTGCAGAGGAGGCCAGTCCCAGTGGAGGAGGCAGGTGGCAGCAGGGGAGGGCAGTTGGGGGCAATCAGGCCAGCAGGGGAGTGGTTAGGGGGCAATCAGGCTAGCAGGCAGAAGTGGTTAGGGGCAATCAGGCAGTCGAGTGGTTAGGAGCCATTGGTCACGGATTGTGCAGGATGTAAACTGAGCTGAGGGACAACACTCCCCCTTTGTGTATGAAATTCATTTACTGGGCTTCTAGTTTTACATTATAAGAACCTCAGATTCAGCATTCTGAATAGATTCAGTATTGTGTATAGTCCTTGCCCCATGCTTATCTATTTCATACCATCTTCTCAAATTATCCTTTTTCTACACCTTTACCTGACAAAATCCTACCCATTCTTCAGAATCTGACACACTTACTGTTTCTTTCATTAAGCATCTACCATCCCCATATCAGAGTTTGTCTTTATTATTCTCTCTCTCTTAAGTAATGTTACATTATATTTTATATTACAGTTCCTTGTGAACTTATATCTGTGACCAGATTGTATGTTACTTGAGAGCAAAGACTGTTTCGATCATCTTGGTATCTCCATCAGTACCTAGCATATAACATACATATAGCAGGTTCCTGATTAATGTATATTAAGATAAATTGAAATAAACATCTGCATGACTACACAATAAGTGAAATGACACCTTCTACATTTCTGAAATCCTACTGATCACAACTTTGCAATTATAAGTTCTTTTGATAATTAATGTGTAAGATTTCAAATCACCTTAACAGTAAGTCTCAGGTAGCTTATTTTTATACCAAATTCTTTGGTTTTCTATCTGCCCCCACTGTTGTTTCCCCCCCCCCCCCCCATGAAATAGTGCTTCTCAATTTGATTACTTGAATTTCTTTTTCAATTCCAGCACTGTACCGAGAACTGCCTCCAGAGATTAAGGAACGATCCCCTCCTTTAACCACCAAGGAAAACACCAAAATGGAAAAACCTTCTTTATCTTCTCAAAAGGTAAATGTTTTCAAGAAAATGTATAGCATATGTACTTTGATTTTCACTTTCTCTGGATAAAATATTACTTTATTTTTCATGCTTATATCATTGTTTACATTATTATTTCTTGTAAAATTGGCACCAATGTTATGAAATAGTGTAAGGCAAATATTATTGTAGCCATTTTCCAAATAAGGAAACTGAGGAGGCTTAGAGGTTAAAGTATACCTTAAGTCACAGTCCAAGTAATGGGATAAGGATCCAGAGTAGAACTTGTGACCTCAAGTGTGATGCTATTTCCATCCTATACTTGTTTCTGTAATGACAATACTGACAGTGTTATTAGCCCCACCTAAGAGATACACATGTGTGCTAAAGGTCATTGGGGCCCAACAGAATAAAGATGGCCTATCTTCCTGGAGCATTCCTTTTACTTGCTAGAAATTTAAAATATTTTCAAATTAAAATGAACATGGATGTATTATCTGCCAGAGAAATTTATTTATTTATTTGTTTGTTTATTTATTTATTTATTTTGAGTGTCGTGTTTTTTTAGTCTGGGCCTTCAGATCCCTCAGTCAGTATTCATTCCTTTACTTGCTAAAAATTTAAAATATTTTCAAATTAAAATGAACATGGATATATTATCTGCTAGAGAAATATTTTTATTTATTTATTTATTTATTTTGAGTGTCATGTTTTTTTAGTCTGGGCCTTCAGATCCCTCAGTCAGTATTCTTCTGATATTAATAATTCTTCGGTGCAAAGTTTAATAAGTAATTAAGCTATGTGCCATATCACATATATTACTTCTTGAACTTATTTTATTCTGTGACATTAGCTTTTGCCTTAAATGGAGTAACTTCACTCCTTAATAACATGAAGTAGTAGTGTATAGAGTTTTTTAACAATGGAACCTATCATGTATCATCTGTCATTCAGCCTATATTTATTGAATGCTTACTAGTATTTCCACGCTGAGCATTAGTTCCTCAATGAAACAAGATTGAGTAGACAAAGCACTTGCCTTTGAGGCTGGTGGGTGAGACACCTACAAGTAGACAATTTTAATAAACCACAGTAGGAACTATAATAAAGATATGTGCATAGTGTATTGAGAATGCACACAGCAAGAAACCATCAAAATCTACGTTAGGAGATCCAGTAAGAGTTCCCCAAGGAGGCCATGCTTGAGCTGAGGCTTATAGGATGAAAAAGTATGTACTTTGTAGATGATCTTAGAAAAAGTATTCTAGCAGAGGAAACAGCTTGAGTAAAGTGTGATAAAGTGTAATTATTATATTTTGTGGAGTATATGGCCAAATGGAGAGAAGGACATAATTCTTGTGTTGATTTGGTCTGCATTATAATAGACTCCTACATATATTTTTTTCCTCTTAGGAATTTACCACTTGTAGAGTTTGATAATGTTTTATTTCCCTGTGGGGAAAAGTATAAAGAATGATGTACATTTCTGTAAAAAGAAGTCCCTGAGAACTGGTAATGTCCCAGGTATTCAGAATGCCTCAGGTAGGCTCTGAGTGATGACGCAAACAGCCAGCCCTTGAGAAATGTGTAACTGGGCTTCCTCAGCACTTGGCACAGTTACATGTCTTCAGTTTATTTTCTTTATTAGAATATATATGGTTTGATTTTATCAAGATCCTGCCTTATAAACCTACCACAAATTCTATCAGATGTTTAATTTCATATGTAAGTTTTATTTTTATTATCCTATGCAAGATATGTTTTTAAAAAAAGAACTTGAAAAAGTTGTCTCTGAAAAGTGACTAAAGTGGAGGAGGGTCCCAAGTTCATAGAATTAGAAAATTGGTGACATAGAAGGAACCTAAAGATCATCCCCAGTGATTTTAGTCAACTCCCTTCATTTTATAGACGAGGAGATCGAGATCCAAGAGGGTTGTAAGAGTCACGTTCCAAACACTGCTCCTAATTAGGAGCTCGGCCCCATGTTCTCAGGCCAATCCTGTTCCCTCACCACCGAGTCACCGACAGCTGTGTAACATTGATTTTTCACATCCCTGTATTATGTTTGTTTAATTGTACCCTTCTTCATGTGGAAGTCTTTAGAATTTTAGTCTTTATATCTTTTAAGGAAAAAAAAAAGGAAAGAAACCTCCTGAATTGTTTTCTTTCTTTTTAAATGATTTCTGTTCAAACTACAGAATGAGAAGTAAAATTATACCTTTTAATAGCTTGGCAGCTGCTGGATCTTATTAACAAGTGGAACACACCTGTTCTGTTGCTAAATGTGCCAGGTCCCTTGCAACATTTCATCTGGTTCATTGAAATGTTAGTGGGTGATGGAAGCATTCGCTCTCCCTCTGCAGGGAGCAGGGCCAGGTTTGAGTTAGTGATTCTCCACCGTAGGCTAGAGAATCCCCAAACGAATCAGTAACTGTCTATACCACAGGGACAGGAGAGTAGAAGACTTGTCCTCAAGCTCCTTCCAGAACATTTTTATCACACTGTGCTGTAAATTTGGATCTAATAGGAGGAAGAATATTTGTGCTATCTGGGACAATAGCTTTAAAAAATATGAGGGGGTTTTTGTTGGTTTTTTGAGGACTTTTTTTAGACTTTTTATTTTTTTACTACCCTAAATAATTTGCTATACCTATATCATTCATATATTTGGGGAGGAAAGTTGTTAAATTTCTTTTTTTAAATGTAATTATTTTAGGTCATTCTATTAAAGTAATATATGTTCATAGTTTTAAAAATTCAACCAATAAAGAATACTGTAAATAAAAAATAAAACTCTGTCCTAATATTCATGTCCACTATAATTTGCAGTTCTTGTTAAAAATGTTCTCTGCACATGTAAATAAACATGTCTTAATTTATGTCTCTGTTTTGATGAAACTAGAATCATACTTAATATTCAGATGATTTTTGTTCATAATATATTTTGGCTATATTTTCTTATTACCACAGACAATTCTGTTTAACAGTTTTAATTACTAAAATAGCCAATTTTTTTTTCTTTTTTTTATTCCTAAAATGCCCAGGTATTTTTTTTTTAATTTCTGAAAATGCTTGGTTTCCTCTTTTTATTGTTATAAAAACAAAATCCAGCCCTGGCAATGTGGCTCAGTTGATCGAGTGAGATCCCATGCACTGAGAGGTTACCAGTTCAGTTCCTGGTCAGGGCACATACCTGGGTTGCCCCAGTTTCTGGCTTGATCCTGGTAGGGACATGCAGGAGGCAGCTGATTAATGTTTCTCTCTACTTCTCCCTTCCTCTCTCTCTAAAATCAATAAAAACATTTTTTTTAATCTAAGTAGAAAATTACCCTCTATCTTCTATAAATGTTGAAACATTGCCAAAACCAAGTCATGTTTTTTTAAATACCAGACATATAGTAATAATTATGCACAGGAATGTTAGATTATATATGTGAATGTGGAGAAATTGCTATGATATTTTTGCTTATGTCTATCTAAAAACTCACTAAATGAATAAGTCATTAGTTTAGCTATTCTAAAACAATTATAAAAATATCCATTAAAACTCATCTCTTCCTGTGGTAAGATTTTTAATTATTTTTAGTTTTTTATTTAGCATGTAGTCAGTGAGAACAGGCTGGGTCAATTCAAAAGAGAGCTGGTTCATAAACCAGCGTGCATATTCCACTTATTAAGGGCCAGCTGTTTTTTTGTCTAGTATAGAACAAGAAGAGAGAATCCAAAAGGATCAGATAACAATGGTGGTTTTGCTTCCAGCCAAACATACACGCACAAAAAATTTTACATTTGCAATTCTGTCAACCTCTCAGAAAAACAGTAAGCATGTGTGTGTTCACAAAATATCTAATTTTCATTTGCCCTCTTTATCTCAAAAGTAGACAGTTTATTAAAGCCTGGATCAATTGTGCTATATTTCACTATTTTAAAAAATAACTTAATATAGAAAAAAAATGTTTTTCTATCTCCTGTTCTTTATACCAGGAATTGACCTAAATTATTTTTAACCAGAGGAATAATATGATTTTATTACTGTGTTAAATCCAACAAAAAATTTATAGTAGACAGTGGTTATTTTTGGCATGGCAAAATAGATTTTCCAAATTCCTATAAGTTAGTTAATATACACTGAACCATTGAAAATGCAATCATAATTGGCATTGTCTCCTTCCTATATTAATTTATATCTTTTTTAGTTTAGTAATTTTATCAGAGAAAATTCAATTATTTGATATATTAAATAGATAAAATTAATTTATGCTTGGATTTGCTTTTAAATTTCAGGAATAATTGAATGTTTTTTTCTTGATCCAAAGAGAACAACGTCAAAATCTTATAAGTAAAACTTATTTGTATCCCATAAAGAGTCTCAGTACAGGCAACACTAATATGTATTTCTTTTCCCCCCTAATTTGTTTCAATAACATATATATATTTTGAGGAAAAAATATTGATTTCAAAAAATGTCATTTACATTTGAAAAATATTTGTCCCACAAAGTGTGTGGGACCCCAGTGATGTGACAGCAAAGCCAGTGTGTCACCTCGCACCATAGATCCCAACAGTATAGTCTCTAACTGCTCTACACAGAGGAACTTTTAAAAATATATATTGATTTCAGAGAGAGGGAGAGAAATAGAAACATCAATGAGAGAGAACCATCAACATCAGTCAGCTGCCTCATACACACTTCCTCCTGAGGATCAAGCCCACAACCCAGGCATGTGCCTGATAGGGAATCCAACCGTGACCTCCTGGTTCATGAGTTGATGCTCAATTATTGAGCCTCACTGGCCATGTTACTCAAAGGGACTTTAAAAGCCTTCACAATCTCTCTTACCCTGAAAGGAACTCATTAGGTCTTGACTTTCTTAAAGGTCTGGGGACCAATTCTGCTAATTATTCTCTTTATACCTTTGCCTCGGCCGTTGTGTTTGGTATGTATATTTCTGCCTCTGCTTTGTATCTTCCTCCAGTTTCCTTTGGGCGATTCCCCTCCAAGTTTTCAGGACCCCATTACCCTCAACAGA